TGCTTCCTCCTTTTATCAGTCTAAACTCTAATACCCCTTTTAACCCTCATCTTTCAGTATTATAATTTATTGGAGGTTTTTCAGTAAATGGTTTTCAAATCCTTGTTAGATTATTTAATAATCTATATGTGGCCCATGTAATTAAAGGGCTGGTTCTAATTAAGGTGGCCCAAGATGATGTGTTATTGGGCTTAATGGATAAGGACCAGTTAGAGATAAGGACCAGTTAGAGTTTTAATACCCTTTCTCTGCCTTATAAAAGATAAAGGAATCAACAGCTTAGGGTTAAGAAGAAAAGAAGAAGAGAGTGTGACGGCTACCTCAAACACATACAGTGATAGATTGTTTGAGAGAGCGTGAAAAGATAAACTCCTGTGCTATTGATAATTCTCTGACCATTAAGAAAGCACTTATGGACAAAAGGCCAGAGTGAAGAAACATAGATCTGCTGTTACAGTGAGAATCGAATTGCCTCAACGAGCTAATCCATAACATAGACCTGCTGTTATGGATCAAGGTATGCTTTCTCTTATTGTGTATTCTTCAGAGCCTAGTCCCTATTTTAGATTTGTTTGATAGAGTTTTATTTGGCTTAATTAATGGAAATTAATTTCGTATTGTGAAGTTGATTTATCTGGAAATTAATGGTATAAATAAAGCCAAAAATTATAGAAATTGAAAACTGTTTGTTTTCTTTATGCTTTATAAATTATTCTGCTGTTACTTATAAAGGAAGGTTATGACATCTTATTGTGTTATGTCGTTAAAGTTTTGAGATCTTAATTCAATCTCATAAAAGTTTTGCATATATCAATACTTAATGAATGGAAAACCTGTTAGTCACCAAAGTGGTCTTGTTTGGATTAGTTTAGACATTGATTATGCAGCTTTCAATTGTTCATGTTTGTGTGATGCCGTTAAATGACATAAAAGTTAAAATTGAACAATTGAAATCATTGATTATAATTTGTTAGGTTACCCAAAGGTAGACTAGTAATTATAATCAAATGACATTAAAGAGGCTTATCATTGTATTAATTAATATGAATGTATATCCAAAGATAGCACGCATATTGTATGGAGCATTATTGAATAGTTGAAAGTAATAAAAAAAAAAGTAACTGGATTCCAAAAAGGAGCACGGGCGTGCTATGGACTTCCAGAGAGAAGCACGGGGCGTGCTGTAATGAAGCATGGGCTTGCCCTGACTACTAGAGAGAAGCACGGGGAGTGCTGTAATGTAGCACGGGCGTGCCCTAACTTCCAGAGAGAAGCATGGGGCATGCTGTAGTGAAGCACGGGCGTGCTTCTCTCTGACTTGCATAAAGGTTCGCAAGTTGCTCCACATCAATGAAAGTCTGTTAAAGTATTTTCTTCTTGGCATCATTATTAGTTAAAGCTATGTATTTAAGTATTACCCCAAGGTAATTTTAAATGCATAATTTAAGATTATTATTTGTTTGAATCCATTTATGTTTACTCAAAGTATTAACGTATGAGTATATGTATAATGTTGCAGCTTCTTTTAACAGCACTGGGTTGATTAAGTTCAATGGATTGAACTATGCTGATTGGTCCGAACAAATCCATTATCAGTTAGGAGTTCTGGACTTGGATCTGGCATTAGTCTTTGAAAAGCCAGTAGCCATTACAGAGACCAGCACTGAAGCTGACATGTCTCATTATGAGGCTTGGGAGTGGTTTAACAGGCTAAGCTTGAACTTAATGAGGATGACAATGGCTGAAAATGTTAAGCCATCAATGCCCAGAACAGATAATGGTAGAGAGTACATACTAAAAATTAAGGAATACTCCCAATCGGACATAGCTGACAAGTCCATCGTAGGATCCTTGATGAGTGAGCTGACGACCAAGAAGTTTGATTGGTCACTCACAATCCATTCATGATCATGTGACTGCATTGCAGAATTTGGCAGCCAAACCTGAAATCATGGGGAATGGATGTGATGTGAATCCTGTTTAGTTCAATTTATTATTTAACTTTTCACTTCCTGCTATTAAGTTTGGTCCAGTACCAGTGAATTACAACCCACCCTTAAAGGAAAAATGGAACATTTAGAGAAATCAAGGGCCATGTTAAAACAAGAGGAAGGGAGATTAAAGAAATGAAGGAACAACTCTATAAATCTCACATCATAATTGGAGCTAGTAGCAACAACAACAAATTAGGGAAGAAAGGCAAGAAAAGGGACAAGTGCCCCCAATGAAGGTTAATTGAGGTCCGTAAGGGAGTTGAAGGTGCTACTTCTGTAGCAAAGAGTGCGTCACTTCAAGAAAAGAAGGACTGTCCTAAAAGGAAGATTTGGTTTGAAAAGAAAGGTATACTTTATGTTTCAGTATGTTTTGAATCAAATCTTATTGAAGTGCCTAGTAATACCTGGTGGTTAGATTCTGGTGCAACTACTCATGTGTCTCATGTTATACAGGGATTCCTTTCGATCCAACCCATAAATAAAACTGAAAAGTTCCTATACATGGGAAACAGAATGAAGGCACAAATAAAAGGAATTGGGACTTATAGATTGATCCTGGACACTAATTGTTATCTGGATCTTGAAAAGTATCTCTATGTTCCTGAATGTGCTAGAAATTTAGTTTCTGTAGGGAGGTTAGATAATGTTGGTTTCAGTTTTAAGATTTGTGTAATTGGTGTTTTTTTCATTATACAAACATAAGTACTATTATGGTTCTGGTACCTTTGATTGATGGTTTGGCATCGTTTTTAATCTTGATGTTGAATTTATTGAATCCCTGTTTAATATTGAACACAATATAGGCTAATAACGTAGTGCACATATAATGTTCTTGCTTCTTGGGGCATCACAAGGTTAGGTCATATACCAAAGAAAAGAATTTGAGGTTAATGAAAGTAAATCTTACCTCAATTGGATTTCACTGACTGGGACGTGTGTATAGATTTGCATAAAGGTAAGGCCAAACTAGCAGTACATTAAAGAATCCAGCCACAAGACCAGCCACAAGAAGCAGTGAATTGCTTGACTTATACACACTAATATATGTGGTCCTTTTGATGTTCCCTCTTGGAGTGGTGAAAAATATTTTATTACCTTTATCAATGATTTCTCATGGTACGGTTATATATATTTACTATATGAAAAGTCTCAATCAGTGCATATCCTTGAGATATTCATTAATGAGGTAGACAGGCAGTTAAATAGAAAACTTAAAGTGGTGAGATCTGATAGAGGTGGTGAATATTATGGTAAATTTAACGAAAATGGACAATGTCCAGGTCCATTTGCAAAGTTCCTTGAAAGTCGTGGTGGACATTTGTGCGCAATAGACATGCGGGTACACCGCAACAGGAATGTGTAGCTGAAAGGCGGGAATTGTAGCTTCTATGGAATGGATGTAGAGTATGCAAATTAATTGTATTGTACCTTTATCATTATGGATTCATGCATTAAGACTGCTGGCATATACTTAATTAGGGTTCCTAGTAAAGGCGTCCTAAGACCTCTTCATGAATTATGCTAGAAAAGGAAACCTAGTTTAGCGGGCATCTTCATGTTTGGGGTTGCCCAGTAAGAAGTTAGGGATATATAAATCCACATTGAAAAGAAGCCTGGATGCTAAACAGTTGATGCTAGAACAGTTAGTGAATTTTTCATAGGATATCCTGAAAAGTCAAAAGGGTACAGATTTTATTGTCCTAACCATAGTACAAGAATTGTTGAGTTTGATAATGCTCGGTTTATTGAAAATGGCCAAATTAGTGGGAATAGTGAATGTGCAAGAGATTCAGATCGAAAATCCAACTCAGGTGGATTTTCCTAATGTCTCTTCTTCGGTTGTTGTTCCTCTTGTTGTATCACGGTTGAACAACATGGTTGAACAACAAAACAACATTTCGAACCCACAAAATGACCATATAAATGATGAACCAGTAAATAATGAACAATTCACGAATGATCAATCAAGTGGTTTCATTAAGAAATGCATTTACGGAGGGTCATAAAGGAAAGAAGGCCAGCTATTTCTAGTGATTATGTAGTTTACTCACCTTGAGCATGAATGTGAATTGAAGCAAATTGAGCATTGATAAGGATCCAGTCTCTTCCAGAAAGCCATAGAATGTGATAATTCTGAAAAGTGGTTTAATGCCATGAAGGAAGAAATGCAATCAACAATCAATGAGTGATAATCAAGTCTAGGATTTAGTCGAGTTGCCTGAGGGGTCAAAACAAGTTGGTTGTAAATGGGTTTTCAAGACCAAATAGGACTCTAAAGGCAACATTGAAAGACATAAAGCCAGACTTGTTGCTAAAGGTCACACTTAGAAGGATGGCATTGATTATAGAGAGACCTTTTCTCCAGTTTCCAAAAAGGAATCTTTAAGAATTATCTTGGCCTTGGTGGCTCACTATGACCTAGAGCTTCATCAAATGGATGTAAAGATAGCCCTTCTTAACGGTGACTTAGAGGAGGAAGTATATATGGACCAACCAAAGGGGTTTGTGGTCACAGGAAAAGAAAATTCGGTGTTTAAGTTAAAGAAGTCAATATATGAACTGAAGTAAGCTTCCTGTCAATGGTATCTTAAGTTCAATAATACCATCACTTCATATGATTTTATAAAAAACACTATTGATCGGTGTATTTATATGAAGGTCAGTGGGAGCAAGCTCATCATGTTAGTCTTATATGTTGATGACATTCTTCTTGCTACGAATGATGTTGGCTTGCTACGGAATTTGATGTTGGGTTTGTTTGACATGATGTGGAGGGTTTCTCGTCTAAGAACTTTGAAATGAAAGATATGGGAGGAGGCCATCCTTTGTGGATTTAGGAAGTAGAAATATTTCGTGGGATAGGTTCACAACGGGACTGTTTAGTGTGTCCTCAAAGAGCTTACTATTGAATAGTATTAGAGAGATTCAGGGAATAGAAAATGCTCCATAGGAATAGTTCCAATCAAAAGGAGATATCCAATTCAGAAAGGAGATAGGTTCAGCGAAATGCAATGTCCTAAGAATGATTTGGAACGTAAAGAGATGGAGTCTATTCCATATGCATCAGTAGTTAGGAGCTTAATGTATGTTCAAACATGTACTCGACCGAATATTAGTTTCATCGTTGGAATGTTAGGGCGATATCAAAGTAATTCTAGGATGGACCATTGGAAAGCTGCAAAGAAAGTACTTAAGTATTTACAAGGCACTAAGGATCATATACTCATTTATAGAAAGTCCAGCTATCTAGAAGTGGTGGGATACTCGGATTCATACTATGATGGTTGTGTAGATTCGAGAAAGTCTACATTTGGCTACTTGTTTCTCTTAGCTAGAGGAGCAGTATCATGGAAAAGTGGAAAGCAATCTGTCATTGCTACTTCCATAATGGAGGTTGAATTTGTGGCATGCTTTGAGGCCACTATTCACGTATTGTGGTTGCGGAACTTTGTCTCGGGTTTAGGTATTATCGACAGTATAGCTAGACCGGAGAATTTTACCGTGATATCCATTAGCTATCTTCTTCTCTAAGGAATGATTTAGCGTACTCTTGACAGGGTGGGCAAAGCACATGAAGGGTGCAAAGCACATGGATTTAAAGTACCTATCTGTGAAAGAAGAAGTGCAAAAACACAAAGTATAAATTGAGCATATCGGTACTGATCTGATGATAGTGGATTCGCTAACTAAAGGCTTACCGCTCGAAATCTTCACTGGCCATGTTGATAGGATGGGCATTATAGATAAGTCCTTGTTAGCATGATGTTTGAACTTGTATATATGTATACATATGGTTATTTTGCTCATATTATTATGACACTTGGGAATTTAACTAAAGATGTGTTTTGCTTGTTTATGTGTTATCTACATTATAGATGTATACAATAATGGTTTGAGTGAGATAACAATAACATTTGATTGTGACAATGTATTGTTTGTTGAATCGTTTCTCAATGTAAATATGTCATTATAAAATAGGTGTTTTTAGTGACGACAAGTGAACCGATGCGGAAATAGTTGATTTTGCAAATGAAACATTTTGATTTTTGTGAACAAGAAATGTGTAAGTTGAGTTTGTTGTTGGGACGGATGAATACGAGCTTTCGTGCAACCTCATTAAATGTTTTGTAAATAATGAGAGTAGTATTCGGATGAGGTAGAAGAGAGGAAGAAGAGTGTGTTCCAAATTTTGCTCAGATTCATAATTGGAGGATGAGAACTTCCATGGATACGGGACGTATTAAATCATGAGACATAGTGAGGAAGGAGTAAGGAAAGCAGACGAAGTGACTGGAAGCAGATGATGATTGAAGATCATAAAGTCCCTTAATCATATATTTTAAACTTTCTATACTTAGAACCGTCTCGTGAAAACACCACTATGTAATTCGAGTGGTGATTAATTATCAATAAGAAAAATTGCCATGGTCCAGATGTAGATGGTGGAGAATTGTTAGATTAGATATAATTTTTTATTATAAATTTGGGCTAAGGGATATTATTGTGTAACTTGCTCATGTAATTATATTACACAGGTGTGTCTTGGTTCTCTATATTAATAGCAGTAGTTGTGCCACCACAATGATTGTGACTTGGTAGTAATATGGCAATCTTTCATATTAATTGATTAGTTAGACATAAATTATGGTTGTTTAGTCTGGGACCGAGTTATAGTCTGTTTTAGTATTCAGACACCTTTGGTCGCTATCTGACGGGCACTTATAAAAGAGTAAAAGGAATTCAACAGCTTAGGTTAAGAAGCAAGGAAGAACGAAGAGAGCGTTGTGTATCGCACACAGCCATTATAAACTACAATACGAGGTGATAGATTGTTGAGAGAGCGTGAGAAATAGAGAAACTTTCCTCTGCTCAGTTTATATTTCTCTTGGCCACTTTAAAGAGAGCACTACGAGACGAATTAGTCGTCAAAGGCCCAGAGTGAAAGAAATATAGATCTGTTGTTATGGTGAGAATGAAGTTTGGTGCCGCAACGAGGTATCAGGTAATCCATAACATAGATCTGCTGTTATGGATCAAGGTACGCTTCCGCTTATTGTGTATTCTTATTGAACAAATTCTATGAACTATAAGATCTAGGCCATATTAAAGTTATTTTAACAATCCTTGTATAAGATTAGTCCATTAGCTATACCCTCTTAAATTGTTGGTCATATTACAATAGAGGAATTTATATCTGGCACCAACTTTTCTCGAGACAAAAGTATCTTACTCTGACATGCTAATAATACAAACTTGGTTACTTATCTAAAAAAGTAGGAAAAAAAAAAACTAAGCATCTTGAAATAATATAAACTAATGTTGCCAACGAGGGAAGTTAGATTTAATATATATGATTTAAATTTGACCATAATCTTTATTAAATGAAAGGCAAAGCATGTATGAAATATTATTCAATCTAATCTCAACCTCCATATAATTTTTATACAGATTTTTAATGAAGGATATATTCAACACAGATTATAATGGTACTCTTATTTTCATAAGGGAAAACAAATTCACTTAGAAAAAACATTAGATTCAATCCTCTAGTAATAAAGGGACTAGTTACAAGGTTGATGGCTTTAAATGTTAAGAGCAGCAATGCATGACTGAAATTCATTAGAGTTTTTAAGATTAATTCCTCGATCATTTGCAATTGTATACCCGAGCATATCGACATTGTTATATGCCAAGTAATATGTACGAAAAACCAGTTAAATAATTACAATGACATTTTAAATGAATTCCCATAAGAAACGCATTGTTTCCAATTTTTTTGACATACCAAAGTACCTTATAGCTTACAAATATACATATCTTATCTTCTTTTATTACACAAGTCTCACAAGTAGGTAGTTTTTTTATGACATGATTCTCTTCACATAGCCTATATTGCTTAAAGTTGGAGGGTTTAAGTCTACTTATGTGCCAAACATTGTAATATATTTTAGTCAATTTCATCTAAAGCATTCTCATTCAAATTCATCACCATGCAGTGGATGAGG